GGCGTAAAAAGGGCTGTAGGATAAAGCATCCTAAGAGGGGACCCTTGGAAGTAACTTTGGCTAAGGGCTGCCCGTTGATTCCAAAAGAGGTAGGTTTGCAGCTCTTGAGGGAGTATGAAGATAGGCAGTTGGGGCTACCAGTGTTGAGCAAGGCGGAGGCTTTTGATTTGAGCTCGGGGATGTCACCCAAGGAGGCCCGGTCGTGGTTTAAGGACCGAGTAGTAGGAGGCTCACTATCTGAGGTGGACCATTTGGTGTACCTTCGGTCTATGTTCCCAGGGATTCCGTTGAGAGTGCTGGTCGGGGTGTGTACCCCGAGGTTGAACCAAGAAGCTGTTGATTGGGCAGAGTTACCGTGGAATCGACGGTTCAGACGGTCTGTGTTCAAATCGTCGGCCGGATCGGTATTGCTTGCTATTGAGCCTTTTTCTTGGACGTGGAAGGGGAAGGGTAGGGTAGTGAAGCTAGCTGATTCGGCTAAAGGTTTGGGTTCTTCGCTGGTGTTTCAGTTAGTCCTTAGGTGGGCTGAGCTGGGACTGATTGGAGGTTTGGTAAAAGGGGAAGGTGGTCATCCTGAAGCGGAAGGGTCCTTACAAGGGGCGTTAGGGCAATTTCTGGAAAGGCTTCAGGAGGGTCACGAGGTTGATTGTTCCGGGGGAGGCTGCGAGGAGTTGGTGAGACTTCTGAGGTTTTTCCTAGTGTTTGCAGTAGCACAAGCAGCAAGGGAACACCAGAAGGATGTCACGCCCGTTGTACCCAGGGTAGAGACCCGTAACGCGCTGGAGAGCCCCGGGGGAGATATTCCTTCAGACTCAGGAACAGCTGTAGGCGATTGGCCGAGTAGTGATACACCTATAGGGTCCTCCCTGTCTGATCTAAGAGGTGCTTTGAGAAGGGTAACGGGATCCGGGGGTGTGGAGAAGGACCAGGTGGACGGTCGGGTCTTTGTGGTCTTTGGTGAGAACTCTGTATCGACGAATGGTAGGCCTAGTCTGTGGCGGGACCTTGTAGGGGCGTTCAAAGAGGTGTACGATCTATATGATGTTGGTTTTGATCAGGGCTGCTTTGGGGCACCTGGGGTCTATGCCTCTAGGTTGGTTACATCGTCGTGGTTTTTGTTTGAAGAGTTGCACCATTGGAGGATAAAGGAAGAGGATCGGGAGTCTCTAACAGTATTGCAGAACTATTGCCCTGAGGGATGTGGATTGAGCCGGTCGGGTTGGACTCCTGTGGTCCTTCGGATTATTCAAAGAAAGTGGGTGGAGTGGACTATGGAGTCTTTGAGTCAGGAGAAAATCGAAGAACGAAGGGTTATTCTGAAGCGGCTTTCGGAGGCGGAGCGGTATGAACTTCATGTAAGGAATGACCATGTGCCATACAAAAAGGGTTGTCCTGTATGCATTGCTTCACAGGGGAGACAAAGGGCGCATTGGAGAAGCTCGTGCCCAGGAGTGCATTCACTGAGTGTGGATATCTCGGGACCGTTCATTAAGGGGCGCTCCTATGATGTTGAGGCAAGCGGTAGGGATAAGGGAGATGGCTATCGGTATTTCTTAGCTGGGGCTTATACTATCCCAGATAAGTTCGGGGCCGAAAAAGAAGATGTTCAGGATACAGACGACTATTACCCTTCGGACGATGAGCAATTGGTGAAGGAAGGCCCTGTTGAGGAGGGGAGGCAGGGATTCCCCGATGATTTTCTTAACCTTCCGGAATTGTTCGAGGATGAGGTTGGGGTAAAGGTTGTGACTCGGCGGTTTAAAGGTAAGCAAGCTGAGCCGGCAGAACTGGAAGAGCTGCCAACTCCTGTGACAGAGTCGGTCCCTAAGGAGTCCTACCGTACCCTGTTTATCGGGGTACCTCTTCGTTCCAAGAAGGGTAAAGAGGTTTTGTTGCAAGTTCAGGGCTTGGTTAATAAGTTGGAGGCTTCGGGGTTCCCTGTTCAAAGGTACCATGCAGATCGGGCTAAAGAATTACGCTCGGCTGCGCTCATTGCATGGATGAAGGAGCGGGGGGTGCACTGTACTTGGACAGCTGGGGAAAGCCCAGCTGGAAATCGAGCTGAGTTGTCTGTCCAGTCCTTAAAAGGGTTTATACGGAAGCTCTTGATAAGCTCTGGTTTGGAAAAGCGTTTCTGGCCCCTAGCTTTGATTCATGCTTCAACTCGTAATTGGTGTAATTTTGTGGAGTCTGTTGGAGTATCCTACCCTAGGCTGTTGCCGTTTGGTGTTCAAATACATGCCCGTAAAAGAATGCGTACAGGATACGACGCTCAATGGGAGTCACGAACACTGCGTGGTACGTACCTGGGGCACGCTCCCAATACACCAGGGGGTCACTTGGTCTTGGTGCGGGATGCTGATGGTGATAAAGTTTTGCTTACTAACACCATTTATCCGCTCAAGGACCAGGAGGTTGAACCGCGTAAGCCTCGTTATAGGCTCGTTGGCAAGCGCTCCTCGCGCTTTGCTGTGCGGGTGGTAGCTGCTGCTGAGTTTGAGCCCAAGGGTTCCAGGTTTGCACCTGGGGGGGAGTGCTATCGGGAGAAATTTTGCGATGATGATGGTTTTCTTTCGGACTCTGAAGGGGACGGAGGCCTAGTGGAGGTGTTGCCTTTAGGATCCGGGATCCTGTTTGAAAAAGACGATGTTTCTGGAGACGAGTGTCTTCGAGAAACTGACGATATTCCTGAACCCGTAGCTGGGACTTGTGTTATGAAAGCAAGGGTAGGGAATATCGCGGGGTTTTCGGATGAGGAGTGTCTTCAGGTTCTGGAAGTAGACTTTGGGATTCCTCCCCCCGCACGTAGACCGGTGCTAGGGCGCCAGGGAAGGGCAGCCGTGCTGGGTTTATACGGGGTTGGGGGTTTCCATGGGGTATCTAAAGCAGCATCGCTAAATCCGGAGGTGACGCCCTATCTAAACGAATTTGTTCGAGAACAGTGCCCTCATCACCTTTGGACCACATTGTATGTCTCTAGAAACACTGTGATGCCTTTACATAGGGATCTTCGCAATGCGCGTGGGTTTCCTGTGCTCGTGAGGGCAGTCGGTAAGTTTGTGGGTGGAGGCTTGTGGATTGAAGGTGAAGATGGAAAAGGGGATTCGTGCCGTGTAACCCCGGGAGGATTTAAGAAGTTTGGTTCGGTTCATAACGTTCAGGCTTCTTCGGTTGTGTTTTCTGGTGAGCGGTGGCATATGCCTGAGGAGTGGGAAGGCGAAGTTAGATGGGTAATAGCCGCCTTCGTTCCGAGGGATGTTGATGGAACGGCGCCGGAAAGCTGGACCGAGCTTGAAGGGTTGGGATTTCCTGTAGAAGGGGTGCGAGCTAAGCTAAAGGACCGAGAGCGAGGGAGTTCTAGGCCGGTTTTGAGCGGTTTGGATAGTGTTGAGGAGCATGGTCGTCGTACGGGTTTAGATGAAGGGTCTGAGTGGGAGCTAGGGTTGCCTGTTCTTATTTTGGATTTAGAAACTAGCGGCGATTGGATGCGATGGCATGAAAGTTCCGCTCGGCTGTGTCGTCTTTTGTCTGAAGAGCTCTGTGACTCCATCGGGGAAGCCGACGGGCTGGTAGGAGTTGCGCACCAGCTGCGCAGCGCTGAAGTTTTGACCGAGTGGCTGGAGGGTTGTTTGAATGGATCCGGGGTCCCAGGGAGCGAAGAGTACTGTGTAAGAGCACTTTCTAAGGAGATTGCTTTGAACCCGGGATCGGGAGAACCGGACATGTTCCTCCAGACGAGGACCGTAGGTCTTATAGAAGCGCGTAAGGAGTTAAGTGCTTGGAAGGAACCGGCCCAGGAAGAGGTATCTAATCTTGAGGAAACCAACAAAGCCGTAGAACGTGTAAGTTCGGAGGAAGTAGAGGGCTGGATTTCTCAGGGTGTTACGGTGGTGCAGTTGCCGGGTAAGGCGGTTTTGACTAGGAAGTCGGGTACTGGTAAGAGGAGATTTAGGGCAGTGTGTTGTGGAAATCATTTGCCCACCGAAAAGTTGGGATTGACCAAGGAGGAGCTTTATGCCTCGGGTGCCGAATCTCTTTCTGTTAAAGTCGCAATTACCTATGCTGCACGGAATCGAGCTTGGCAAGGAGTCACTGTGGACGTGAAGTCTGCCTTTCTTTATGCCCCTATAAGGAGCGATACCAAGGGTACGGATGAGCGTATCATAGTTAAGCCTCCCTACTTGCTGGTAGAACTAGGGTTGTTGAGAAAGGAAGACCGCTGGTGGATTCGAAAGGCGCTCTACGGGTTACCTACCTCTCCCCGTGATTGGGGAAGGTACAGGGACTCGGAGTTTGGTAAGTTTCGTTTAAGGTGGCAGGAGCGGGAGTATTTGTTGCAACAAACCAAGACGGATGATGCACTGTGGCTGATTAAGCCTGCGGATGCAACTTCGGCCGGAGAGACGGTTGGAGTTCTTGTCGTGTATGTCGACGACTTGGCGTGTTTTGGACCCGAGGGACTACTTCAGGCCTTTTTGTCGGCGGTGCAAGCCAAGTGGAAGACGTCCCCTCCTGAATGGTTGGGTGAGCGGCCCGTCACCTTTTGCGGAATTGAGATTGCGCGTAACCCCACTGGCTATCGCTTGACACAGTGCGCCTACGCCAAGGAGTTGATCAACCGGTATAATATTGAGGAGTCGTGTGCTGTGCCTATTCACAAGTGGGTGGAACCGGAACCAGCAATTGAGCCCAGTGTGGACGACATCAGGGCAGCCCAAGGGGTGACTGGGGCACTTCTCTGGTTATCTACTAGGACAAGACCGGATTTGTCCTATGTCGTGTCACGGTGTGGTCAGCAAGCAACCAAGGCACCTCAGGTGTCAATTGCGTTAGGCAGGCAGGCTTTGAGCTATCTGCGGGGGACTTTGGATGTCGGTATTGATGTGCCGTTTGCAGTTGGTAGCCCTTTTTCGGATCACGGGCTACTGTCCCTTCCCCGCACCGACAAGGTGTTGGAGCTATATACTGATGCCTCTCATAGCCCTGGTGGGGATCGGTCGATGCAGTCCTCGTTTGTCGTGTGGAGGGGAGTGCCGGTAGCCTGGGAGGCGAGCCGCCAGCCTTTTACGACGTTAAGTTCGGCGGAATCCGAATTAGTATGTATGGTTCACGGAGTCCAGGTGGTGGAAGCGGTTCAACCTTTGATAGACGAGTTGATAGAGGATGACTCAGTAATCGCTTTGCTTGCAGACAACGAAGCCGCCATCAGATCCTTTGAATCAGTAAATTCGGGGTGGAGAAACCGACATTTGAGAATGCGAGCCTCAGCAGGCCGAGAAAGAGTCGAGGCAGGCCTGTTGAAGGTCTCACACCTTCCAGGCGAATTTCAAGTCGCCGACGTGGGCACTAAACCGCTAACTAAGGCAAGGTTAATGCAGCTTCTCGAGCTGGTCAACGTAAGGTCAGCAGTAGGAGGGGCAGGGTCGGTAGGGGTTGCTAGGGTTTTGAGTAGACTGACGCTCCCGAGTGCCCAGTCAGCGTGTAGTTCGGCGGAATTGTTGGCAGGCCTGGCAATTTTGGCTGCGGTGCCACAAGTGACCGGGCAACCAACCGCTGAACGGTTTGAAGAGGGCACAGGCTGGTTGCTTTGGTTTTTCGGAGTCTTAGTGACCGTGGCTTGCCTGATGTGGGGTTGGTGGATAGCCCAGGGTTCTGAAGGATCTGAGGAAGAGACTTCGGGATTCAGCGAGGGTGAGGTTGCCGGTCTTGGAATTGAGGTTCGGGGTGACTCCGGAGGGTTTTCAGAGGAAGTGGCCGTTGCTGACACTTCCCCAGCTCGGGCAACCCTTGAGCCTGCGAGTGCTGAGCGCGCGGTTGAAGAGGATGATGATTTCACTGAAGAGGAATGGGCCAGGGCACAGGCTAAGTTGATTTCGGAGGAACTTAGAGTTGGGTTGACGCTAGTGCAGAGGGCCCGTGTTCGACGAGCTATTTCGCGAGGTGATGTTGTAGACCCACCTACGTTTCAGCAAAGGTACGGACCGTTGCCGGCTTGGTATGCTGGGCACGAGAGTTCGTTAACAACACATCCGGTAAGGCAGGCTCCAGTCTTCGAAGTGAGTGTAGGAGCTGGCATGATCTCGGATCTGTTTGTTCATTTTGGGGTGTTGTTAGCCACTTTGCTTGGAGCTCAGGCCAGGGAATGGGGAGAGCTGTATGGGGCTGCTAGAACCCTTCGGTCGAATGGGAGGGTTGCTTTGATGTTGAGGGTGAGAGACGCAGGTCTGAATAGGGTTGCTACCGGAAGGGGATGGTCGGTAGAGCTTCAGTTCGAGGAAACGGACGCCGGGAACCAATGGCTCCCGCTGGCGATTGCTCCGGCGGAGCCCCTGCCTGGTGCGGAAGAACCATCTCTTTCTCCAAGTCCAGGGGAACAATTTGGGGGTAGCGCAAGTAGTACAGACCTTGTCCCATGCCCTAATGTGCAAGTAGGTGGCAGTTCTAGCAGTCATGAACCCGTTGGTGTGAATCCGGCCCTACGCCCTGAGGTTCAGGTTGGGGGGAGCTCCAGTAGCCATGGCATGGCAGTAACAGAATGGGACTGCTACGAGGATTGTTTTGAAGTACAAGAGGAGATGAGTCGGTTTCCTTTGGTTGGTACTTGGTATGTGGTTCATTTTTTGGTGCGGTTGTTGTCGTTGGAAGGGTTTCGAGTTCTGTGGTTCTTAGGAGAGGGGTCTGAGGATTGGCTTGTTTTGAGGGTTACTTCGGGTATAATCCGGTGGGCGGTCGTTGGTGCCCTAGCTGACGTTTGGCGGCAAGGGCCTAACTCCTACATGTTTGAAGGGCCGCAATGGCATGCTACTGTAGAGAATCACATGCGTGTGAGGGTTGCAGTTCGAAGGGCCGAAGCCAATCAGCCTGCTTCAGAGAGCGCAGTTGTAACTTTCCCGTACAGGCTGGATCCTCCACCCTATGCAGTGCATTACTTGTGGCGTTTGTTCGCACAGAATGGGGCATTGATTTTGGCATTGTTGGGCGATCGGGTTGCTGAATGGGCTCGATTGAGGGCGGTAGCTGTAGGTTTTCGGTCCAACGTTGTGTACACTCTTATTATGTGGCTTAGGGCTACAGGGCCCTACCGGACCGCGGACGGCACTGTCTCCTTTGATGCAGCCCAAGAGTATCTCCGAGGGGGTAGGAGAGAATTTCCTTTTGAAGAGGAAGAAGACGAGGAGATCGATGAGAGGCCCCATAGGGTTAGGCCTCCTCCGCGTGTACTAAGGTTTTTACCTATTGAGTCGTCTTCTTCTTCTGAGGAGGAGAGTGGATCGTCAACGACGGACCCTGTCTCCAGTCCTGCTCAGAGTAGCTCGAGCGAGCCTGATTTTGGAAGGGATGCAGCAGGCCTTCGGGGAACTTTGGAGGGATCGGTTTCGGCTGTTAGGGTCGTAAGGTATTCGGCGGTAGTTGGGGCCTTGAGGGTTCATTACGCCGATGATAGCTTTGATGTGTCCCTTCGAGGTTGGTCCTTGACGGCAATCCAGGATGTAGTCCGTGGGTTAGAAACTGGTGTTTGGCCGGATTGGACCCAAGCTCTTCAAGACATCCAGAGCGATGAAGGCGAGTCGAATGCAAGCGGGAGTGCCCCGGGAAGGGAATTTGCTCAGAGCTCAGGGTGGACATGGTTAGCCTTGGGATTTTGGATGCGGTTCTTTGTGGTGTTTTGGGTGTGTATGGGTACTGTAGGGGGTACTTCGGAGCTTGTCATTGATCGTGCCTTGGTTGATTGCTCAGTGTCTTCCTGCGTTAATGTAGACACGCGTGTCGTTGCCTGGGCTGATGATGCTGTATCCTTCGGAACCGGGGGTGGTTGTGATGGGTCTACCTTGTGGGAGGTTAGCAAGGTTTTGATCGTCATTGTCACTTGGGAAATCCTACGTAGAAGTTGGACGTTGTGGACAGGACGAAAGGCCACTCCACTTGAAAGGGAGTCTCAAACAGATGACTCCAGTTTCGTGCCTTTGCCTCTGCCTCAGGGCATTCCTTACAGGGCACGAATTCTCTTTAGCCTCTGGCGGGCGGGTTATAAGATTGACTCGGAGTTCTATCCTCAGGAGGTTCAGGATGAGTTGCATTGGTTGATAGGCGACCATTTAGTTGCTCTCGAGGAGGGTGATCCTTTAGACGACTCCTCGGGATAGGACTTCTTGAGTTGGTGACCGAGCAAGCCAGGAGGTTTTTTAAAAAGGGAGCATGTCAGTAGCCACAGTCTTGAGACGGCGAGAAGTGGATCACTGGGAGTATGAAGGCTAAATAAGGGCCCAGGATTTTAGAGCGTACCCGAAGGTGTAGGCTATGGGTTTCGAAGGTCAGGTACTCCGGTGTAGTCCACTGCAGTATAGGGGATGCTGAAGGTTCGCGAAACCGAATGACTCCAAAGGAGTTCACCCCAGAGCACAGTTTGGGGGATCGGAATAGAACCCAGTTTTTGTCCCAACGTTAGTCTGATGAGTCACATTGTCTATTTGTTGAAATTGGTGTCTTGTTTTCCGGAAGGTACCCTATCACCCTTACTTTGGAGGTAAGGGTGAGGGGGAGTGCGTGGAGTGAAGCTCTCTATCTCTCTCAGTATTTGGAGGTCGGACATGTGACTCACCTTTTGCATACCAGGCTGTCTTTTGGCTTTGAAAAAAGGTTGATGCTCAGTAGGCCGAGTTCTTCGGGCTTAGTCGTAGATTAGGCTCATCGGTTTCAATCTGGGTGTGTCTGTTCGTCATTGTCTTTCTTGATTATACGTA